AGTCTCTGCGAAACAGCCGGCAACGGCGATTTTGTATCAGCTTATCCTTGAGTCTGGGGCCCTTGTGAACGTGCATGACCTCTGGCAGGCATTCAATGCCGTGTTTGAAAGTGATGGTGGCGCTGATTGTGATGAGCGAATGGTGTTGACCCTGTTTTATCGAGCTCTATCTGAGCTTAAATCATTCGGCATGGTCAAAAGCAGCCGGAAAAAGCTTGATCATATTGCCAAGACGTCATGGGTTGGGCTGTAATCTGGAGTCGTCTTGTATATTAATATTGCAATTCTTATCCGAAAAGGGTATCATCGTACACAATGGCTGCACTACCATCGTAACTTTCAGACGCACAAATCGCCCGGCAATGATCGTTGACACCGGGTCTAGTTCCGCGGCGGCAGCAATAGATTGAAAGGATGGGGACGAGGGGGAGAAAGCCATCATCAATCATTCTGAGACAGGTAGTTGGATAATGTCGTCATTACCCAGTGGGCGTCCGCCATCACTCAAGACCATGGCTTCTCTCCTCCGTCTCCGCACGACCTGTTCCTCAGCCGTACGATCCCGAGGTCTTCGAGCTAAAACGTGTCTCGAGCCCGCGGTATCTTCTCCATCGACCATCCATACGTCACTATCCGTTTCGTCCTGGTCATTCTCCTCCATCATGCTGCCCATGAGGCCATATTTGCGGAGCTGTTTAGCGCCATCGGGATGGGTCGAGAGCGTGTTGAAGATAGCGCTCATGACTGCATCATCGGACCACCACGTCCTCATCAGGATGACAACATCCTGCCGCCGAGATGGCTCGGAGAGGGCGCATGGAAATGGGTAGTGCGCAAGCCATCGAGTAATTACACCCGCCTCCAAGGCTGCCGGGATATTCTCTTGCAATATGATATTCAACACGCTCAAAGCCTTCTTTTCTCCAAGCGGTCTCGTTTTCGGAAGAATGGGCGACACCGTGGTCGAGGTTTCTTCGACATGCTCCTCGAGGAAGAAGCAGAGGCAGTTGACAACAGCGGTATAGGTGGGGGTGTCTTTTAATCGGGTGCATACGGACGTCCGGGCGACTGAGCTATAGTTAGTAGATGTAAATATAAAGGAAAACCAGTGGGCAGGCTTCGTACGCGCTCGGTTGGAGACAAGAAAGTACATGGCACTGAGGGCTTTGTTACGCCGCTCGCCATCCTTGCTCGCAAGGTCTGCGAGGAGCAAATCGCGGGTCTCTCCTTTGGTTGATCGCTCTGCAATGATACGCAAAGATCTATAGAGCTTGTGTTAGCTCTGAAGTTGGAAAATCTTGGGGTATCATACGCTGCTCGGAGGTCATGGCTCGTGCTCTCGGAGAGCTTGAGTAGGGTATCTAGTTTCAAAGCTAGACGAGATCAGCAAGTGTTCTAGTAACAGCATGATAAACAGGGTGAGATATGGACGAACCATCCTCTGTGCCTTCACTTATCATCTTATCTTCCTTCTCATCGACATGCTTAATCTCCGTCAAATCGCGTACTTGTCGGAGATCCGTCGCAATGCCGCGGACGGCGAAGAATAGAGAGACGCCTATCAACGAATCGTGTCAGTCACATACGTTTCATAGTAAAGGGACAAATGACCATACCAAGGCATATCCACAGCAATCGATCATTCAAGTGAGAAGCCATGGTTTGGCTCATGGTCAACCTGATCGAGCTGACTGCTTGATGTCAGGTTAGATCGATCATCCGAAGGCGGAGACAGCACAACGCACCGGCAGAATGCTGCGGGCGGTGAACCAACTTTTTTTCTTCCCTGCAGCCAAAAATTTCGGAGACCCGACAAGCGTCGCTTTCTTTGGCTCGTCCTTCCCACGCACCGAAAAATGCCGCCTTCACAATTAAAGCAGCTCAAGACCTCGCTGCGTGACAGCGGAGTCGTCGCGCCGCAGAAGTCGAAAAAGCAAAAACGTGAGAATGCGAAATCCGGCGCCGGCGGGCAGGAACGAATCCGCCGCAATGCCGCCTTGGAGGCTATTCGTGACCGCTTCAATCCGTTTGAGATCAAGACTACGGCCTCGCGGTCTAAATTCGACGTGACCACGCGAGATGGGGGTTCAAAATCCGCCGACAAGAACCATAGACCCGGTGTCACAAAGTCGCTGGGTGAAGTGAGGGTGAGTTTCCAACAGGACGCTTCTTTATGTAAGATCTAGATTACTGACGATTCGGCTCGATGTAGAGACGCGAGACACTGCTTCGGGAAATGAACCGCAAGAACAAGGTGGGCGGTGTTGTCGATCGCCGTATTGGTGAAAACGATCCGACCATGACGCCCGAGGAGAGAGCTGCCGAACGATTTGCCCGAGAAAGTGAACGACGATTGCGGAAAGAATCAATGTTCAATCTGGAGGAGGATGACGACGACGAGGAATTTCAACTTACCCACAAAGGGCAGTCTCTTTCTTTGGATGGCGTGAACCTGGAAGATTACAGCGACAAGGACGCGGGCCTGGATGAAGAGGATTCGGACTCGGAAATTCCCCACAAGAGGAAGCGAGTATTCGAGGACGAGGATGATATGGGCGGCGCTGCAGATGGGGAGGGCGAGGAGGAGGAAGAGCTGCCGGAGCGGAAGAAGTCAAAGCATGAAGTCATGAAGGAGGTGATCGCCAAGTCAAAGTTTCACAAATTGGAACGACAACAAGCCAAAGAGGACGACGATGATCTGCGGGAGGAACTCGATAAGGAGCTTCCTGACTTGTTCGGTATGCTGAGAGGTGTGAAGCCTCCGCCAAAGCTCGAGCCTCCAAAAGACGACTTGGGGGCGATGAACCCGGAGCGTGCGGCCTGGATTGAAGGAGGCCCTGGAAAGGATACCGAGAAAGAATACGATCAACGCTTGAGGCAGATGACTTTCGAACAACGGTCTAAGCCCACCGATCGCACGAAGACCGAAGAGGAGAAGATTGAAGAGGAGGCTCAGCGATTGAAGAAATTGGAAGAGGACCGCCTGCGAAGAATGCGGGGTGAGGAATCGAGTGAGGATGAAGAGAGTGCGAAAGAAGACGGAAGCGATGTTGATGATATGGGGGATTCTGACAACGAATCGGAATTTGACGATGCGAAAGCATTTGGTTTCCAAATGTCCGCGGATCAGACTACCTCACGCCCCGAACTTGCGGTTGAGGATGAAGATGATTTTATCATCGATGACGATCTGGTGGAGACACGGTCTGATGTCGATTTGTCGCTTAATGGCAGCGATGATGAGGCATCCTTTATAGAGGATTCCGAGGGCGAGGAAGAAGACGCACAGGAGGACGAGCACATCAACGGCCTCACTATCCCAGAGGGCGAGTCTGCTGCTACAGCTGACGGAGTGCAAATCGCCGCTGATGGACTCGCATACACCTATCCCTGCCCCAGCGACCATGAGGAGTTCCTCAACATAATCAAAAATGTGGCCGTTGACGATCTGCCTACTGTGGTCCAGAGAATTCGAGCTTTGCACCACCCTCGTCTTGCCAGTGCCAATAAATCGAAACTGGGCCGATTCTCTGCGATCCTCGTCGAACACGTTGCATATATGGCTAATCAACCGGAACATCCGCCGTTTGCGGTCCTCGAGAATATCCTCCGCCACGTTCACTCTCTTGCCAAATCGCATCCTGAGGAAGTGTCGCAGGCGTTCAGACGCCATCTCCGCCAGATGTCCGCGGAACGACCGCTCAACCCGCTTCGCGGCGATCTGGTTATCTTGACCGGGGTTTTCGTCATCTTTCCCACCTCAGACCACTTCCACGCCATTGCGACACCGGCGCACCTAACGCTTGCCCGGTATTTGGGACAAAGCACCGTGAACACGCTGGCTGAGATCTCCACAGGCACCTACGCCGCCAGTCTCTTCCTGCAATACCAGGAGATCTCGAAGCGGTACATGCCCGAATTCATCAATTACGTCCTGAACGCTTTGTGTCATCTCTGCCCTAAGGAACCGACAACCAGTCTCGGGGCTTTCCCAACACGCAGCCCCGAGGTGTCTCTCAGATTGAAAGCCACGAAGTCCATCGCCCCCCGAACGCTCCAATTCTGGGACATCACGGGGCCCGCCGCAGGAGCAGAAGAAGAGCTCAAGCTCTCTTTAATCACCACGCTCGTCAAGCTCCTCGATGCAGCATCCGACCTCTGGTCCGACAAGTCCGCCTTCACCGAGATCTTCACCCCCGCGCACGCAGTGCTCACCCACCTAGTGAAAACCTGGCCCGCCAAGCTCTCCAAGACCACCCTCCAAGCCACCCTCACCAAGGTATCCACACACCTCTCCCAAGCCCACCTCCACCGCCGCCCCCTCGAACTCCACCACCACAAACCCCTCGCCATCAAATCCGCGATCCCCAAATTCGAAGAGTCCTTCAACCCCGACAAGCACTACGACCCGAACCGCGAGCGCGCGGAGCTCAACAAAGTCAAGGCGGAGTACAAGCGCGAGAAGAAGGGCGCGATGCGCGAGTTGCGCAAGGACGCCAACTTCGTGGCGCGCGAGCAGCTCCGGGAGAAGAAGGAGCGCGACTCCGAGTACGAGCGCAAGTACAAGCGGCTTGTGGCGGAGGTGCAGAACGAGGAGGGTCGCGAGGCGAATGCTTACGAGAGGGAGAAGAGGTTGCGGAAGGGACAGCGGTGATTTTTCTTCTCCTTTTTTACATTTATATTCTCTTGCTTTCCCTTTCTTATTGTCCCTTTTTTTTTGTGTTTTATGCAGGTTGTGGTTGTTTTATTTCGCAGGGATGGGGTACAAAATGTATATACCATACAATCATTCAATCATTCATTCAAGCATCCAATCAATCAGGTTCAAATCTCAGGGTACTAACCCCATACGTTCATTCCATCTAGATTCATGTATCTAAATATAAACACACACATGTATGTACGTACATGTACATATACACGTACATTGAATAAAGTACCCAACATCGCACATCTATCTATCTATCTATCTATCTATCTATCATGGTCATCATCTGACCACCCCAGCATGCATGCAAGCTGCGTCATGTCCCACATGGGCAGATACTATTTATTTCCATCCAGGCTGCACGGTACTACAGGTCTAACCAACTAAATCTAACCGACTTTTTGACCACGTGGGTAATGCTGTTGCAAGAATGGTATCTGCCTATTCACATATGTTTACAGAAAAATAGGTAGATATATGAACTGATAAAGATAAAGCGATCATATCGAGATTTTGTTTTGTTTGGAGGGCTGCATACAGGCTGCTGTAGACAATACTGATAATAATAAAAAAGAAATGGAATGAAAAAGAAGGGGGTGGAAATATGTACAAAACATGGTCAACGTGGGATAGATAGTCCATCCTAGCAGATAGAATCTTCTCAGCTCTTATTGATATGTGCATGAAGGTAAACAATAGACAATAAAAGGTAAAGAATAGAAGAGTAATCGGAATGATAAAGAAGAGAAATGATGATGAAACACGAAAATTAGCAAATAAAATCATAAGGTGACCGTCCGAGATAAGCATAATACAGAATGGGATATCCATTGCACATCAAACAAGCAATGCAAGCCGGTAAAGAAAAAAACGCAAAATCGAAGAAATAATTAAAACCCAGGAAAAAGTAGCGAGAATCCTATGGTTCAGGTTCAGGACTCGCCCAAAGAATCCATCAACACCTCCAACGAGCGATTCGGACTCTTCTGCAGCGTCTGATAACAACCCACGCAAATCCGCAAGCAGCAGAACACGCAGCGATGGCGGACCTCCCGGTCGAACTTCTGACAGGTCATGCAGGGCAGTGCGTGCCAGCGGTTTGCGGCGGGGGGCATCGCGCGGTGGTCCTGGTAGCAGACATAGTGGAGCTTGTTTAGGGGAGCCGCGACGGGTTCGAAGTCTGGGGGCGTCCAGGGGCCGTTGTTTTCCTCGCTGGAGGCTTCTTCGATGGCGCTGCCGGGGCCGTCGAGGTCGGGCTCGTTCTCGTGCTCGTGTTCGGGGTGGGGGTGCACCCGGTCTACTTCGGGGTCTGGGATGAAGTCTTCGAGGGGGTCTTCCTCTTCTTCCTCTTCTTCCTCTTGCTGTTGATGTTGGTGTTGTTGCTCTGCGGCGCTGGGCTGTCTGCGCGGTGGCTCGTCGATGTCGTGATTTATGCTGGAGGGTGGGGTTGGTCGTTGCACGGGCAGCGGAGGTTTTTCGGATTTTGGGACAGGCACGCGGGGGATGCTGGGGACGCGCTTGACGGGGGCGGAGTCGGTGCGGTTGGGGGGAGAGTTGGGGGAGAAGCCGGCATGACTGGGGGGCGAGCTGGGGGAGGAGTCAAAGCGGTTTGACGGAGAGAAGCCAGTGTGATTGGGAGGCGAGGTAGGCGAAAAGTTGGCATGCGAATTCGCCGCAAACCCCGGCATAGAACTCGGCGGTGACGCAGCAGGGGACAAATTCCGCGGGGAGAGATCCCGATCCTGCGGGGGCAGCGGCGGAAGCGGCGGGCCCTGATCGCGATATCCAGACGACGAACTGGCCGACGCAGCAGGAAACGGAGGAAGCAAAGGCAATGGATTCGGCGGCAGCTCCTTCTCGTGCGGTCTGGGAGGACGAACGGGCACGGAGTCGGTGCGCGCGGGATAGGCCGGGAAGAGAGAGATCTCTGGGGGGAGCTCGGTGGGCGGAGAGTCCGGGGGGCTTTGGTGATTGGTCTTTTTGAATTTGATGGCGGAGAGGGAGGGCATGCGGAGGCCGCGAGGGCGGTTTTCTTTTTCTTTATCGCGGATGGCCATTTTCTCTCTTCTTTTGTTGACTATCAATGAGGATAAGAGAAGATAGAGATATGACAGAGTGGGGACACGGAATGATCAGCGATCCGGATCGTCAGAAGCGATGAAGTAGGAGTTGGAAGTTGAGTTGACAATTCAGAGGCAGAGGGTGAGAGACGAGAGAGAGAGAGAGAGAGAGAAGAGGAATTGCAAGAAGAAAGTGAGAGAGTAAGACGAGAGATGAGAAGAGAAGAGAGAGAAAAATCAATTAAACCTGTAACAAGCCAAACAAGATACTAAAAACGGGGCGATGGAACCATGGATGGAGCTGGACTGACTTATGTACCTTTCCTACACAATTATTGACTTTGATTATTTATTTTGATCTCCTCTATTTTGTTGATATTATCCTATATGTTACTAGTTGACTGCTGCTACTAAACTAGAAATTAAGAATGATTTGTTGTCCCAGTCAGATTGGTCCCATGCACGAAGCTCTCCAAACGAGACCGATCCAATCCATCACACCCTCGTCACCGTCACCGCTCACTACTTCCTCTAGTCAGTTCTCAAACTGGTTAGAGGGATACCGATCGATCGAGAAATCAGTAGACCCGAAAAAAAAAAAGAAAAAGAAAAGAAAGGACCGTCAAATCAAACCACACAGCGACTCGATACAGCCTGTAAATAATGATCAACATACAAGAAGTAGAGTCCACTCCTCGCTAGTCAGCTCTAGTTCCTGCTTTTCCTCACCCAATGGGATCCCCACGGGCTGAACTTTCCCAGTTTTCTCAGGAATGAGGTCAGACATGGAGTGCTACTGTAGGCAAGTCTGTCACTCTTAGTCTGTCACTCTTGATAATGCACTGTATCAACCCACGTGATCTCCCCTGCCCTCATCATCCCCCCATCCATGGAGTAGACAACATCAATCAATATAATCCAAACAGAACAATGCGAAATCTCCCCATTCCCTGCTGCATTGCATAATTTACATCGGTGGAGACTTGGCCAACTAGGTAACAATCAAAAGCCTCCTCCCCCTCCAATCACTCAATCCAGTCCATCGATCCATTGGATACCATCCAGGATCGGAGCGGGGTGGAGACACCACCGCGTGGCTGAAACCAGATCCGAAACCCTTCAGACGCGTTGAATGGATTTAATTTGGACGGGCTGCGCCACGCCCTGTCATCATTTCAATCTTCGATTTTTATTTTATTTTTCAGATTGAGCAGAGCAGGGAGGGGGAGCGAGGGGCTCATCTCGATTGGATTAATGAGGATTTTCCTAAGAAAGAGTGGGTAGTCGTTCCTTCAACAGTCAGCCGCAATGATGCATGCAATTGATGACCCTCATATATCCAGTAGCTGATATCAAAACAGAGGGAGATTGCTCCCATTGTGCTCAAATGAGAAAAATAGGCTCTACATTTACATAATCATTCTCAAATTTCAATAATAAAATTCAAAAAATACGCAAGCGTGAGAATAATGGATTCTATGCAACTAATGTATATAAACAAACGAGACTCCTACCCTCATAATGCAATCAGTCAACCAGTCAGCATATACCATATCCGAACCCCGAGGGGAATGAAATCAACAAGTGATAGAAGTAAAAAAGAAAATGAGAAAGAAAAGAAAAGAAAAAATGATAAATGAAAAAAAAACCCTGTGCATCACCATCGCTTTTCCATTGATACGCAGTCGTGAGAGAATGGAGGGAAGTAAAGTAAATAAGAAAGGAAAGGGTAAATAAAAAGGTCAAGTCTGTGCATTCCCGGGCGGATTATGAATCTCCACCGATCGCGTCTCCAGTTCCTGCGGTTTCAGGCAGTCCCGATGCTCGGGCAGGCTCACATCGTCTTCTCCCAAACTGGTAGACCCTGGGACCACCGGGCCGTGGGATGCGGGGTGGTCGGCGGACGTGGGGCCCGGGGGGGAGCCCAAGAGGTGTGCTTGCGACGACGTATCTTCGACGTGTTCGGTCGACTCGGGCTTGTCGTCATCATCGCCAATAACCTCAGCCAGACTGCGAAAGTTGAACATGGGCTCGTTCGACGAACTGGTCCCCTCGACCGGCGGGAACGGTCCCGGGTGGTCCTCCGCCATGGAGTCCACCACCGAGGAGAAGGACGACGACGCGCTCGAGACATGTCGCAGGTGCGACGGTCGGGCCGATTCGCGGCCAGGTGGCGGAGAGGTGTCTGCGGGGCCCGCCGCGCCGGGGGCGGAAGGGCTCGCGCGATCAACCTCTTTACCCTTGCTCCCGGCGGTGGTATCCTCCCCCGTTACAGAGGACGAGCTGCTGACTACCCGCCCCAGTCCCGTCGGGACATCCAGGGTGGAGCGGCTAGCGTTGCTGCTGTAGAGTCCCGACTTCCGGGCCATCTTCTCCGCCTTCTTGGCCTCCTTCTCCCGCTTCTTGGCCTCTTTCTTGGCTTCCTTGTCCTCGCGTTTGCGCCGCTCCTCTTCGCTGGCCAGACTCAACCGAATCGCCTCCATCATCATCATGTCCTCCAGATCATCCACCCGCGTCCGTCGCGAGCCACTGCGCGCGGGCGTGCCGCCACCTTCCTCGGCCGAATCGGTCTCGTTGCCGGCCCCGCGGCGATCCGTCAAGAAGGCCAGCGCTTGCAAGGCCGGCGAGCCCCGACCGGGGCTGCCTTGGCCTTCCGGCGCCCCGGACCGTCGCATGACGCCCCTTCTGCCGATGCCGAAATTGCGCGATTCGCTTGCGGAGGGGTTGCTGTTCATCATGTAGGCCGCCGTGTGCAGAGCAGTGGCCGCGGCGGACCGTCGCGCCGCGTGCGCGCGAGCGTTGGCCAACTTCTGGGCCCAGTCCGGTCGGATCCGGTCGGTTGTGATCACCGCCGGGTCCGCGGCCGACAACGACGTTGCGCGCCGGCGACCCGTGAAGCTGGCGACATTTCCCGAGGACAGGGAGGATGTGGACGAGACGGGCGAGGCGAGGTTGAGGCGAGACCCCGGGTCGGCGGGGTAGGTCAATCCCCGGCGGAACGGCGGCGTCATGTACGTCACCCCGAATTCCGGCTGGACGCAAAACGGGCAGGCGGCAGGCTCTGATACGAGCTGACCGTCCTGGTTGTCGGGAGGCGCCGCCTCGGACGTTGTAGCTGGGGCTGGGGCATTCGGATCTGCATCACCATGCTCTGGGGGGTGGGGCTCGGGTCGTTTGATCTGCACGAAACACTCGGAGCAGATGGGCTGGTCGCAGCACCGCGTGCGGTTCAAGTAAGGGGGGTAGTATAGGAAACAGATCGGGCACTCGGACGCCGCTTTGTAAAGGTAGGCCTCCATGGGCTGGCCATTGACGAAGGGGTCGTGCGGGAGCTGCATCTCTCGCGGGCCGGGGTCGGCCACGTTGGCGTTTCTCGATGTCGTCAGGGAGGCGAGGGTTTTTGCCCGCGTCCGGAAGAGAGGCGAACTGGACGTGCCCTGGGAGATCGGGGAGGTGGACGGCAGCGACTGCGCCGGCGTGGAGGACTGGGACACATCCGAGCCATCGGATTGCGACCTCGACGTGATCGGGACCGTCAGATGTTGAATGGACCTTGGATCGGACGACTCCTTGGTATCCTCTGTGACCCTTGGTGGATTCCGATACTCCAGCTCCGGGGGGATCTCGTCAGGGGCAGGGATGGGAAGGCCCCGCGCGGCGGCCATCAGCTGATGCTCGGTCCATGAATCGGAGAAGTCGTTCAGACCCCGCCAAAACGGGGCAAGGCGTCGTTCAATCTGCACGAGACAATAAATCAGCAAGGAGTATAACGAGAACGTGTGGCAAATCCACTCACCATCAACTGTCGGACGACCGCTTTACTAAAGTCCTCGGCCCCCGTGTAAACGCCCTGCGTAACGAGATAGCCCCCATCGACATGTTCATCTCGCATGCTACGCGCCCGTTCCTTGAGCCGGGCGACCCGTTCTTTCTCCAGGCGTCGGGCTTCGCGCTGTTGTTTCGTCTCGCGACGATGCTCGAGGGAGGCCACATCCCTTTCGTGGCTCCCAGTTATTCCCAGAATGGAGAGATCGGGGCGACTGCCACGCGTCAATCGGGACGCTTCCGCATGATGCCGGTCATCGTAGGGCGACCTTCCGTGGCCTCCGTAGCTTCGGCGATTCGAGTGAGGAAGAGACGATCTGGATTCTTTGGTCTGCGAATTCCCCATCTCCACCGGGTGTGGGAGTATTCAAATGACAGGAATAAGTGAACGAAAGAAGACAACCAGATTGGGAATTCAAGGTGGGTGTCGTGGTCAACAGTAGTAGTACCTTGTCAGATTAGTTGGGGGGGGGGGAGCCGCGAAGTGCCAGATAAGAAAGGCGGAGAGGCGGAGTCGACGCCAGCTTAGGTCGGGAAGAAAGTGGAACGGGGGGAGGGCTAGAATCCAGCTCGACAACGGATGTTGTTAACCCAGATGGTTGACAGAGGTCGACAGAGGTCGACAGTGGGGAGATGCTTAGTTCTCAAAGCCCATATGAGAGAAAAGAGAAGAAGAAGAGGATAAAGATAAAAAAGCCGATGGGGCCATGTGAGCGACCAAGAGCTTAGTGGACTAGAGTGGGTTTAAGACAGGCTAAGACGGGGCGATGAGATCAGACGTGCGGGATTCGGTGAACCGCAGGGAGAGGAAACAACCGAATTAGGGGGTTAATCACTTAATAGGACGATGGCGATGGGGAGGAGAAGGAAGAAGTGGGGAATTAGCAAGGGAAGGGCCGAAGTTGTACGGATGATGGGAGAGTAGTCAGTCGGAAGTGAAGAATCCAGTCTTAATAATAGACCATGGTCAATTCACATGATGATTCTACTTACTGGAGTATTCAAAGACTACTATATCGTACCCACTGTTACCACACTCCGACCGGCCAATGTGACGCTCAGTATTCGTATTACACCGATCTCTGGATCACATGATGTCCATATCATTCTAGATATCTTTACAGGAGAGACATAGTAACCAGGATGTTACTATACTAAATACTGAGAACCATTCTAGATAGTATACATGATCTATTATACATCCCAATATCATACTTCACTCTATCAAAGTCACACTTACTTATCCACCGTATTCGCCAACCGGCTACTATGGCTAAAGTCCACGCGCAACCGCCGCCCATGCGGCCGTCTCTGGCGCAACAATTCCAGCCCAACCTTAGCGCTCTCAATATCAAGAAAGTCGGCATGCGCGAAGCCCTTCGCCAAACCTGTCCTGCGATCAATGGCGACTCTCACGTCCACCACGTTGGCAATACCCTCGAAGAGCTCGCCGAGGTCCTTATCCGTCACGTCGAACGGCACATTGCCGAGATACAGCGTTCTCGACGGATTCCGGATCCCCATATGAGTGTTGACGTTGTTCTGCGCGAACTCGACCGTCGCACGCCGGCCCTCAAAGACCTTCAAGTGCATGCCTTGGATAGCGCGGGCGGCGGCCTCGACGGTATCAAACTGGACGTAGCCGAATCTATCAACACCGTTAGCATTTCCCCAGAATCACGCAAGTAAGAAAAGAAAATACCCACCCCTTGCTAATCCCCCGATTATCACGAACAATATAAACCTGCTCCACAACCCCAAACTTCTGCATCCGCTGCTGTACATCCTCCGCCGTAACGTCAAAAAAGATATTCCCCACAAACACCGTCTCCTTCGGCTCCGTCATCCTCTTCAGCTTGCGGAACATCTCCATGTGTCGCGAATTCCGCGGGTACACTTCGTCGTCGAGGGTTTCATCCTCGTGGGACGCCTCGAAGCTCACCGCATCGAAGTATGGGTCGCCGGAGGAAGAGCGGTCTCGCGGGTCTAGTTCGTCCCGGGGTTTCTTTTCGGGTTGGATCTCGTGATGCGTCTCTGCGGTAGTAGGCTTGGGCGCATCCTCCGCTTGTCGCGCGGTAGAGTCTTCGTTGCTATCGGGGAGAGGAGTGGTAGACTGCGGCTGCGCCGCCGGCCGTTGCGCGTCCTGGCTATTCCATCGGCTCTGGATTATGGAGGGGTTCGTTTGTCGAAGTACAGCGAAGCGAGTCGTGTGGTGGACGGCGCTGGTGCTGCTCCTGGTCCACGTTGATCGCACCGGCGCTGAAGCCGGCGAGGCCAGCAGACGGCATGCGGCCTGTCGGATGGAATGCCTAGGCAGGGAATAAGTCAGCGCACTGTTGTTATTCAGGTCGCCATGTAGGCTTATTTCTTTCTGCGCCTTACATGTTGAATCGGAAATGCAACAGCCGATTGAAAGTGACAAGATTGTAGAGCTGAAACGGGATTTTCCCTCCGATGTTTTTCGAGACCAGGAAAAAGAGCCAATCGGCTTTCCGATAAGGTCACGTGACTATGGCATGGTGTCTGATAAGGCCACTCATTGGGAATATACCATACTTTCAACTTTTACGATATGCCACAATCTTGCTGGTGGGTATTGATTATAATAATACATTCTGCAGGAGGTGGGTAGCCTCCAGGCCGGGATAAGAAAAGCAAAACCACATCAAATCGCCAAATACAGGCTGACAATATCATCATAGGAGGGTAATGTACCAAGTAAATCGTAATATGCTCAAGAACAAGACATCGACATCGTAGGGTCTTTCAAAATTCGTTATCCACCCTCTTCACACCAACTAATAAAGGAAACGGACTCATGGAGCACCCTGGCCAGGAGCCCCCTGATTCGGCTGCTGTGGAGAGCCGTTATTGTAAGACCCCGGCATCGGGGGACCGTTACCGTAGTTATTGCTATCGAGAAAGAAGAGGTTGGAGTGACGGGCGAGGGGGCGGATCCGGTCCCCCACACCAGGAGTAATCTGCGCTGGGACTGGGGACGGAGACACACCCGCTTGCGCCTGCTGCTGTTGCAGCTGTTGTTGTTGCGCGTCCAGCCCCGGCCACCATTGGCCTGAGAAGTCGAGCGCCGGGTTTTGCATGTATGTGTCCCAGGCGTCCTGAATACCGTCAGTCAATTTAATCTCTCGATAAATCGGTACGGGATGAAGAAATCATACCCAATCCAGATTGAGCTCCATGTCAGGCATCTGGCCAAACATGCTGCCAAAGGGTGAGGGGGCACCTCCCAAGTCGGCGGGGGCGCCGAAGGAACCCTGTGCTGCCAGCGGCGCGTCGGTCATTTTCACTGATGCGTCGCTGAAGCCCGGGGGCGCTGTGTTCATGGGGCTCATCCCACTACTCAGTAGGCCTAACGTGATAGCAGCGTTTTGCTTCTCGTCCTGCGGCTCAAAGGCTGGCGCCTTTCCATTACTGCTATCGGTGAATCCCATGTTCAGCCGGGCTAGCATCACTTCGAGAGCCCCCGCTGCTTTGAAAGCCTCCATGGTCTGTTCGCGGCTTTCATGCCAAATGTCCTTGGAGCGCTGCAGCGCTGCCATCATTTCGTCTCGACGTTCTCGGCCCCATGCACAGGTGTCGCCGGAGGCTCGACCCCCGGCTTGTAATCGATCGCCGTGGTAAAGATCGAGAGCAACGATGGTGGCGGCAAGTAGGAAATCAGTCGAAGAGAATGAGGTGACTCCGTTTCGGAGAGCCCGCAAGCGACCTGTGGGGCCCATTTCGGTATGGAATATGGACTGGAAGCGCAATAGTTCCATGGCGGAGTCGATGCATGTTCTTCGGGAGTAGGTGAAGCGGGGATTCTCGCGCGCGCGAACAAGGTATGGCCTGTGGAGCACGCACTGCGCTCTGTGGTATATGCTCATTATCTGAAAAGGGGAAGTTGCGTTAGATAGAATAGCAGTCAAGGGTCGAGAAACCTACGGAGTATCGAGACATGATGAGATTTGCTGGGTCAAGCTGGGATTCTTCCATCGGACGGAGCATCAAATGCTCGGGAATCATGTCTCTTGCTCGGCGGAGCTCCGCGTCGATCTCCATCACTTTATCATAGGATCCACTTTCAAGGGAAGAAATGTGCTCGGTGACTCGGCCGAACACGTATACTAGACGCGATTTTGTAATGAGATAGGAGATCGGGGTGGGTTCGCTGGGTGGGCGCGAGGCCGGAAGTGCCTTGCAGTCCTCCTCGAAGTCGTCGTCGTATAGGTTTTGGGGAATCTCGGTGTCACTATCGGACGTGCGGAGCATGCCGGGCAAGCCGACTTGGAAAGAGAACAGCAAGTCACACACCCGTACCAATGTCCAGACGCGCCGCCGCATCTCCCCTTGGAACGGTGTGATATTGGGAAACATCTTTGAGTCCCGGTGATAACCCATCCTCATGGCTAGCCTCGCGACCACGCCAACGAGCACCCAGACAGACACATCCGCCTCTCTGGTCTGGGAGAAGTCCCCATGGAGGTGGAACATCAGGGCTTCGATCAAGTATGGCCACGGTTTGGTATAATCTGCCAGGGTCAAACATTGCGCCATGAGATTCCGGAACGTGCCTGCCATGTCCAGAGACTTGCCCCGGAACTCCGGCGGCTCGTCCTCTTCGCGATGATACGAGAGCATGGCTAATCGCATGATTGACAATAGCATGCCAAGCCAAACGATACATGTCTGTGACGGGTCTTCCCAGTGTTTATTGTACTAAAACGGTCAGCGCCACTTCTATTGCAAACGGTCCAGGTTGTTGCGTACCTGCGCCTGAAAAGTAGGGCCATGAAGAATTACTGGATTGGAGGTTAGCATGGTGAAAGGACACGACAAGCGAGCGCAATCCAACTTACAAGTGCAAGGGTCGTAGCTATTGAAATATCGCGCAACTAACATATCTGTCGTGTATTTTGAGGGGAACGAGGACATTATCTCTGCGCGGCTGGCGGGCTTCGTGGCGCCAAAAAGTAAAGCAGAGCCGGGAACATCGGTTGGAAGTCGAGTGGCATCGAGCCTTTCCGCTTGTTCCTCGTACTGCTTTTTATGGGTGCTGAAATAGTTTCGCACTTCCGCAATCTATAACCATAGTCAGTCTGGGATCCCACGCATTCGGCAATCCTAAGTCTCACATCGCTTAGAACCGACGCCCAGTGCGCCTCGCTGACGTAATAAGACTTGTTGTGGTTGTCGACTTTCATGATGCCAAAAGACTTGGTGACTTGTTCGGTATCGCTTTCCTCTGCGTCGGGAATCTCGTCTTCCAGTTTCAAATCCGACCCATTCTGGGCGGAGCCGATACTGCTACCGCTGCCCGAGATAGCGGACACAGCTGCCGCGGGGCCCGCTGATTGAGATCCGTTGGTCATCAACGACAACACCAAGCCCTCCAATCGGTCGATCCGGTTCTGCATGTCATCTGGAGAGCTCGAGCTATTCTGTTGCGACACGTTCTTCTTTCGGGTATTCGGTTGAGCGTAGCTACATGACGGGGCATCGCCCCGCTTGACGCAGTTTTCACACGGGTTAGAGCGGTTGCATTTCAGCCTAAAACCCACAGCGTCAGACAATCGTCAAACGTTGGACATGTGCAGAGTGCGGGGGGAGCATCTTACTTTCTTTGGCGACAAGGTCCGCAGGAAAGAGGCACTCTATTCCTCTTTCGAACCACCCTATAGTGTCCTTCGGGGGAGAATGCGCCAGCGCTGGAGGATGTAGTGGATGGTGGAGTGGGTGACATTCTTTCGGCTTGGAAAGTCACTGCGCTTGTATTGAGGAGGAGCTCCGGGGGCGATCGCACGGACACGGCGCAATATCACACCCTACAGACCCACGACAGTTGCCCCAAGCAATATTGATCTTTCAAGAAACACCGTAGCTCTGTTTATGGCTGTGAGAGGCTGAACCGCACCGATATCTTCAATCCTAGCCACGTACGGCAGTCGGTATCGGGTCACTTATATTCGGACAAGGCGAGAGCGTCTCCGTCACAGATATGTTTCCGGGTGCGCGTGGATCCAGCGCTCACCATGCGGTAGTTGCGACTCTATCGACGAGGCGTCGAGGGACAATTCGAGAGTACCAGGGGTGCGGGGGCGGTGATTCGGAGCGAGTGGTTGGGAGGTGGCTGTAGTCCGCGCAACAGGCTGAGCGGGGAGCTTGAGGTCGAGGCGCGATGAAATCAAAGGCCTCGTATACGATTATCCGCTATTCGCTTCGGACCTGACCCCGGACGTGGGGTAAATATAAAGCAGCAAAGGGGAAATAATGGCTTGGTCGGATATGGAGGGGCGAGCAAGCATTCGTGAGTCTGCCGTATGTAACCTCGTGCAGATTGACAGGCCGGCAGATATGGGCAAGAACGTCTCTTGAGCCTGAGTAGCACGATCGCGAGGACGAAGGAGATGGATGCGGGTGGAAGAATATTTCTAATGGAGGATCGAGGGGAAGAGGAGACAGGTTACGGTCTCTTTGTCTGGCCCTCTTATCGGCGACGCAATTAAGCTCTGGTGAGCCAACAATTGTAGCCTCAGGCAATATGTCTAGGCTCGGGAAGGGCAAAAAAAAAAAAGATCCGACAGCTGCAGGATTCGAACCTGCGCTCACGAATGAACGGGATAGCAGATGAGATACATAGCAGTCCCGCGCCTTAACCACTCGGCCAAACTGTCAATTGGTTGACTAATACGGCTCCTTAGAGATAGACGACCAGCCTGTGGTATCCTCTGTCTTTATTCTGACAGAAAGTAGTCGATTTCTACTAAGTAGACCACTCATAAATTCTTCTCCATCCAATCACGGGCGTTGATTTCTCGGTGCTATATTCCCCTGTCATGGTAGTTATTAGGATGGAGCTTGATCTTGTGGAACTTTCTTGGTGGAAAATTCCGCCATCCGGTTCACGAGCGGAGCCATCGCCACGAGACCGGGCTTTCCAGGTACCAAGGACATCAAGCTTCCGCTTCTTCTAATTGTCTTGTGTGCGAGTTACCTGCGAGGTCGAGGTCGATATCGAATTGAATTCAGTGTTATATATGGATGTGTACAATTACTACCAAGGTTGGGTTGAGCCATGATTTCTACATTTTCCAAAGAGCCAGCGACGACATGCCATTGCAGCGGGCTATTTGAGCTCTGTGATGGTTGTCTTCTCATATACGTTGAGTTAATTTTTTTATTGGTTTTTGTCTTTTTTAGCCACTTGCTTCTGATTCAATCTGTACTGTGGTTGGTGTAGACTACTTCTGGCATGTGTGGACGCGACATCGAGGGTAAAGAAATATATAGTTCCTCCAGTGCGCAGTCAAGCAGTCCAAGGCCCTACCTACCACAAAAACAAGCAAGGATCAGATTCCATGGGAGCTCCAACAATGAGTCATAGCCCCAACTACCCCGAATTATCAAACCTACCAACAAGAAACGAGCAGATGAGCAGATGAGATAGGAGGACAGGAGGACACAACTAACCACGCCAAGATCCTACCGTTGCGGCAAAGCAGTATCCAACAGAACCAAATGCAACTGAGGTTACATCTCCCACGTAGCAGTGATGTATAGCTGATAATCAGCAGTATATAAATAAGGACAGTTTGGCCGAGTGGTTAAGGCGCGGGACTGCTATATACCATATCTGTCATCCCGTTCATTCGTGAGCGCAGGTTCGAATCCTGCAGCTGTCGTCCTAATTCTTTTTTTGTTGGTTGGATTTTTTTTTCTTTCTTATCAAACCCCACTGGCACCCGTTGTGGATCGAGAATGTAGTGGTCTTACTGGTCTGAGATGCTACGGGTCCTAATCTAACTTGTCCCGGTTGTATCTCCCTGGGTACCGGTGCGAATGATTGGTTAGGGATTGATCTGTTGTAGTAGGGCACAGTAGGTACCGCTATCTACTGTTAGTAGATCAATATAAACCTCCGGTGTATCAGAGCTTATTTAGTGGTAGGTTTGAACCAGCGTCGAACTAAGCCCAGTAGAAGTTCCCCTGGCTACAGTACTTAGTGGGCATATGATTTCGGCCCAATACGTACATACTCGACTTGAAGACATGGGCTGGGGTAGCTACATACATGCAACTGAAAAAGTATCCGGTTGATATTATAGTAGGAGATCAAATGGACATGTCATGGATCAATATACCTCGGGTGAACCAAGCAACACAAAGCAATTCATAGACTGGCATTGTCTGGTTCTCTCCAACTAGGGTATCCATTGGACCATCCATATCCCCCATCCCTGTTCTTCGTGGGGGGTTCAGCGATAGGATTGGAGAGTGACCATGCATGACCACCACGAATCCTCCTGTCACTGCCACGGTCTTTTGTCTGTTTGTCTGTTTGTCCACTGGGGGGCGATCTACAGCAGTCCAATTCACTCCTTCCTGCATACCCACTCTGTCGCTCTGCTGCTTTTTTATTTCTTTGCCTTCTCCTTCTTCCTTGCTTCTTTCTTTCCCTCTTTCATCTTTCCATCTCCCTTCTCTTGACATCCTGCATTTCCATTCCACTTCCATTCTTAACATAAACCAGTCGAGTGCCCATTATCCATAAACTTCCTGCATCATCTATCATGTCCGCTCCGAGGGGACGTGGTAGAGGCGGCGACCGGGGTCGTGGAGGTGGTCCGGGGGGTGCGGGTGCCCGAGGCGGCGGCCGTGGCTCAACGGTGGATATTCCCTTCCGTCAGTCGGGCCCACCCGGCGATAATCGCGGTCGAGGACGCGGCAGAGGTGATTTTGGCGATAGAGGAGGCCGTGGAAGAGGTGACTTTGGCGATCGTGGAGGTCGGGGCAGAGGAAATTTTGGTGATCGAGGACGCGGGGGACGTGGGGGAGGCGGAGGCCGTGGTGGCCGTGGTGGCTTTGATCAAGGTCCACGCATCTATTCGTACGCTCTTCCTTTCCCTCCACCACACATCATGATCGGGTCGATTGTCTCCAGCTCGTCTGAGCCCTGTTGATTGTTGATTATTAGTCCGGAAGGAGGGGTCGTTGCTCCAAGCGCTGAGGTCCAAAAGACCGAAAACGCCGTGGTCACTGCCTTGGCGGCTAAGAAGAGAGAGCCTGGCTTCCCTGAGCGCCCGGCCTACGGTACCCAGGGACAGGCGGTTACGCTGTTTGCCAATTATCTGGATCTGAAGTCGGTGGGAAACCAACTGTTTCGCTACAATGTGAACATCTTGGGCAACTCGGCCACCAAGAACCCCCCGGCGGGGAGAAAGGCCCGCCAGATCATTAGCCTGCTGCTGGAGGAGCATTTCTTAGAACACCGCAGCCACATCGTCACGGATCATCGGTCCACCCTGGTATCGAGACTCAAAATCCTCGACAGCGAGGACACTTCCCGTGATTATGACGTACGCTACAAGGATGAGCACGACGACGACTACGCGGAAGAACCGAAGATTTACCGTGTTAAGGTCCAGTTCACTGGCAGCCTCAGCCCGTCTGACTTGCTAAACTACTTGACCTCGACCAATGCGGGCGCCTTGTTCGAGTCTAAACAGGAAGTCATACAGGCTATGAACATCCTCTTGGGCTATCATGCCAAGACAAACCCGGACGTGGGCTCCGTGGGCGCGAACAAGCATTTTGCTCTCCGCGGGCCTGGCCGGGAGAAATGGGACCTGGGTGCTGGGCTCGAAGTGTTTAGAGGATACGTCGTGAGTGCTCGGGCTGCAACTTCGCGTCTACTGGTCAACGTCCAGGTCAAGTACGTCGCCTGTTACCAGGAAGGCCCGCTGGCAGCAGTCATCGGCAGCTTCCAGCAAACGCGCTCGCGTGATATCAACGAGTTGAGGCGTTTCCTAAGCAAGCTCAGAGTCAGAGTGACGCACATTCAGAGGAAAAATAAACGTGGAGAGATTATCCCACGGTTCAAGACCATTGTAGGCCCGGCCACCAAAGCTGATGGTTCCGGGCTGCCCAACCGCCCCAAGGTAGACCGCCACGGAGCCGGTCCCAAAGATGTTCAATTCTTTCTGGATGCACCCGGCCAGCCGTCTGCCAAGCAGGGTGGTAAGGGTAAAAAGGCTGCTAAGGCAGGCCCCGCACCAGCTGGGAAGTATGTCACCGTGGCGGATTTCTTCCGACAGCGTAAGTATCTCTTTGGACCCAAGACTCGCCCGTGAAAGTGCTGACGGGTCGATTTAAGAATACAACATGACTGCCGATCCCAGAATGCCAGTTGTTAATGTGGGGACAAGGGAGAACCCTAGCTATCTGCCCGTCGAAGCCTGCGAGGTTGTAGCCGGCCAGCCCGCCAAAACCAAGTTGACCCCCAACCAGACCAGGGGCATGCTGAACTTCGCGGTTCGCCCCCCGCCACAGAATGCCCAGTCGATCGCGACAAACGGCACAGGTATCCTAGGCCTCGGGGCTCCCCCCAATCAGACCCTCCAGGAATTCGGCGTCCAGCCGGATCCAAAGCTGATAACCGTGCCCGGACGAGTGCTCCCGGTACCCAACATCTACTACAAGGACGAGAAGTCGGGCCAGAAGCAAGTCAGACCGAACTTTGGCAGCTGGAACATGCGGTCGATCCGATTTTCCACTCCCAGCAAGATGACCAGCTGGACCTATCTCGTGGTCGACTTTGAGGGACGCCGGCCCTTCTTCGACAGCCCCGCGGCACTGGATGGACCGCTGAAGAGATTCACAGACAAGCTCAACGAAGTGGGCGTGATCTCAGCGCCTTACAAACCCGGAAGTCGCGTCGAGGTCAACGAAATGAACTACGAAGCGGTGGTAGACAGCGCAATCGCGAGACTCATCGCCGTCCACCGCCCGCAGGTCATCCTCACCATCCTCCCCTCCGTGGACACGGGACTTTACAACTGCATCAAGCAGACCTGCGACATCAAGCACGGCGTGCGCAACATCAACGTCCTGGCCGATAAATTCGCCAAGTGCGACGACCAGTACTTCGCCAACGTCGGTCTCAAATTCAACCTGAAGCTCGGCGGCAACAACCAGGTCCTGCGCGCGTCCGACCTCGGTCTCATCGGCGAGGGCAAGACCATGCTCGTCGGCATCGACGTGACGCACCCCTCGCCCGGCTCCTCCGACAACGCCCCCAGCGTCGCCGGTATGGTCGCCTCCGTTGACGCCCTCCTCGGCCAATGGCCCGCCGAAATCCGCGTGCAGCGCGAGAAGCGCAACGAGATGGTCGAGGACCTCAACGCGATGCTCAAAGCGCACCTCCATCGCTGGCAACGAGGCCACAAGAACCAACTCCCGGAGAACATCATCGTATACCGCGACGGCGTCTCCGAAGGCCAATACGACACAGTCGTCGAAAAGGAACTGCCCCTCCTCAAAGCCGCCTGCAAAGAGACCTACCCAGCAACCGACACAGCGAAGCAACTCCCCCGAATCTCCATCGTCGTGGTCGGCAAGCGCCACCACACGCGCTTCTACCCCACGAGCGACCCAACCGCCGACCGCTCCGGCAACCCCAGCAACGGCACCGTCGTCGACCGCGGCGTGACCGAAGCCCGCAACTGGGACTTCTTCTTGCAGGCACACACAGCGCTGAAGGGCACCGCCCGGCCCGCGCACTACTACACCGTCTGGGACGAGATCTTCCTGCGCCAGAAGCCCTCGCCTCCGAACCAGAACACGGCCGACATCCTGGAAGGCCTGACCCACCGTCTGTGCTACCTGTTCGGGCGCGCGACCAAAGCAGTCAGCATCTGCCCGCCGGCTTACTACGCGGATCTGGTCTGCACGCGCGCGAGATGCTATCTCAGCTCGGCGTTTGATCCGACCCCGTCGGGGAGTATTGTTACGGGGAGTGGGGGGGCGGATGCGCTGGTTGATGATGCCAGTGTCAGGATTCATGCGAATGTCAAGGATTCTATGTTCTATATCTGAGGATTCTGACACTTGAAACACCGACCTGGCTCCCAATTGGAGAATGGCAATTGGATTGAATGGGCAACCAATGGAATACTGGATAGGCTCGTGGACTACTACTATTGGTTTGATCTTGCTTTATCCTTGTTGGCTTTGTTGGATAAACGTTTTGGCATGTCGAGTCATGTCCTTTCCCTTACATCTACAGATTGGATTTTCTATCTTCTTATTTTTTTCTCTCTACGCGTTATCACGGCCAGAATGAAATGAAATGGAAACGAGAATGAATATGATATATTATTGATTAGCTAGTTTGAAGACTCATTGGCTATGTATCTAGTCTAGATAAATAGATAGATAATATTCCAAAATGCAACAAAATACCTTTTCTATCCTGTTTACTTGGTACGCACATATCGTATCCCAGTACATATCCTCCCTATTCAAGGTATACTAGTTGGATACACCACCAGACCAGATCTAGATCAAATTGATATACTGTAGCAGCAATTGTAAGATACTTCATTATCATTTACCAGTACTCAACTAACACTCAATCAACGATCAACGATCAACAATCAATAATAATGATAATAATAAACAATAATCAATCATACAAAAACCGCACCACGGATAGCAACCAGGGGTTGTATTGGATTGATAATTTAGTTGTTAGTGAGTAAATAAACAGAACAGAACGCGCAGTTGGGAAATCACAGTTGTAGATAAAGAATAAAATAGACACTAACAAGGAAACTCAGAAAGACAGGAGGTGAAGTGAAGTAAGTCAAGTAAAAGGTAAACTGAGTAAGGATGGAAAGAAAGAAAAAAGAAAGCGAGGAAGAGAGGTAGAAAGTACATGGAGAAGATGATACAGGCCCGCGAGCTCAGATAGATAGATATGGGCATAATGAACGAGGTCAGTACCTAGCCAGCCATGCCGCTTGCTGGCTGGCATGGGAAGGGGATGTTGGTTATTGTCTGGTCGGTTGATCAACCGATCTTGACATAGGGAAGACTGATTTTGTGTCTGTTTTTTCTTCTTTTTGTCTTCTTTCTTTCTTTCATCATGGGTTGTCGTTTCGCTCGTGGCGCATTTCGCGTCCAAGGGTCGTCGTACTGTATTCCATAGCAGGACATGTCTTTTCAGATTCCACATCACGAGTGGCATCCATCAACCAATCGATCGATTGAATGGATGAATGAAAACAATCAATCATTCATCACCGTAGATGTTGTTCCAACTCCGGTCAGTGGTGTGTTTGCCAGCACGACGCCCAGGGACAACATTGACGAACTTTCTGGGCTGGGGCGACTCATCATATAGACCCCACGAGGGCTCCATCATGCGCACGGCTGTCTGTCTATCCGAGCCAGCGGGCTTCTCGTTCTCGGCGCTAGCCTCAGGCGCAACGGGGGGAGCCTCGTCCGTGACATTCCAGTGGTTCTCGAAGTCATTGCGACGGTTGGGACCGCGGTTGACGACAGACAGCGGACGCTGCTGTTTCTTCTGGTTGGACACGTCCTGCAGAGCCGGCTCCTCGTCGTTGTCGTCCTCGCTGTAAAGCGGATTCTTGTAAAGGCCCATGCCCTTATTCTGGAACGAGCTGATGATGCGCGCGCCGTTGCCCTCGTCGTTGGGGTCACCCATGTGGATCTGAGACTTTGCGTCCGGACGCGGGTGCGGGACGTGCGGGCGGGCCGGCGGAGTCTCCTGGGCCTCGTCGTCGCTCCAGCCGAAGTGGCGCACTTCCTCGGGGCGGATCCGGCGATGGGCCTTCTCGGGGGTCGCGAAGTCCTCGAAGTTCCACTGGGGGCGGGCGTAGGAGAGCGGGCGGGTCTCGGCGTGCTTGATCTCGCGCTCGCTGTTGTCGGCGCCGAGCTCGAAGTGCTGGTAGCGCTTGGGGTTCGCGCGGTAGGCGATCTGCTGCGGGCCGTCGTGCTCGCGGGCGGTGTCGTCGTCGTCGAAGATGCGCGCGCGCTGGAAGTTCTTGCTGGAGCCGGCCTTGGGCGCGATCGTGGACTTGGAGGGGGTGGCGTCGGGCGCGTCTTGCACGTTGTCGTCGCGGACGAAGAGGTCGTCGAGATTGCGCGAGGGGGGCTGGGCTGAGGCGGGGGCGCGCGGAGGGCGCACGGGGTCCGGGCGGCCGGAGTCGGGGGACAGCAGGTGGAAGAGGGACTCCGCTGCGTAGGGGTCCTTGATGTGTTTCTTGCCCGGGGAGGCTCGCTTGGACTCGGGTTCGTCCGATCGGGACGTCGGTCGAGAGGAGACACTGTCGTCCGTGGCGGGCGCTGGAGTCGCCGAGCTGGCTGCTTTGATCAGACGAAACTGCTCCTTTGCGTCGCGGACGGGCCAGGCGCGACTGCGGGCGCCGATGACTTCGACCTGCTTCAGCAGCGACGCCTGGTCCCAGTAGATGCGGACGCTGTGGATCTGATTCTGCGCATTGAAGCGCACGATGTGAATCTGAGGGGTGACACGACGTCAGTCGGTATCATGAGGTGGGGGGGGGGGTAATATATATATGTACATACCGTGGGGAAAGTCGCGACGCGGTCGGACAGGAAATTATCATCGAGCGTGGGAAGGTAGGCGCCGCCTCCGGATACGAACTCTACCGTAGTCTCGACATCGACGCAGATACTGGCATTCCCCTCGACGGCGTCCAGGATGGTCTCGGACTTGGTCTTGATAACGTGGTCCTGGCGGGTGAGGTGGTGGAGCACGGCATCTGCGCCTTCGACCTTGATGGTAGTGGGGATATAGTTCAACGCGACATCGGCCGCTAACGACGCGGTCCTGGGGCTGGCCAGGTAGCGCTGGTATAGATCCTTGAAAATCATGATCGCTGAGAAGTGGAATCCACCAAAGACAGGACTGGAGGCGGAGACAGAGGTAAGGGACAGATTGATTACAAGAGAAGTTCAGAGATGGAGAGAGGGAGAGAGAGGAGTGGACGGGGACGGGGAAATTAAATTAAATGAGCCAAGAGATGGATTAGGATTATTGACAGGGACAGAAAGGTCAGAAAAGGTCAACACAGGGAAAAACGCGAACCAAAGTTTGGGTCGATTCGGGGGGAAAAGTCGATTGTCAACAAACAAGATTTATCTCCCTCCAGACGACATGTCAATATTAATCTTGAAAGGGGCAAAATGATGAAAGAAAGTAAGAATAGAAAAGAGAAAGAAAGAATGAGTGGATGAACGAATGAAGAATGTGGAGGGAACACTCGCAAATGAGACCGAATAATCAAGGATACTGGAGAATTTGGATCATCTTCAGGAGGCGCAACATCGTAATATCAGCATCTCCCCCGACCTTCCCAGGGGAGTCGATTCCAGATCGGTTATCCAGATGTTTGACATTTGCATGATTGTTTAAGGCCTAGATCAGCGTCGGTCAAGGCCGGGTCAAGCCGCGTGGAAGACACCAAGGACGGCACCAGTGTTTCACCAGTCTAAGCCCCTCCCGCTTGGTCTCTCGGGCAACTTGTTGGCTACGATACGTGATATTATAATACGGATAGTGACATGGGAGAGAAAGATGGAGAGCGAGAGAGGGAGGGACTGGGAGGCGGGATACTGGGTCAATCCCCAGTCTTGAATACAGTACTGTTTTTTCTGTCTGTCTGTCTGTCGACCGCTGTCGGTCTTTTCTCTAGTATTATTCCTTCTAGTTCGTCATCTCATCGTACAGTATTGATCTCGGTGACCATCAGAGTCGGGGTAGAATTGGCGACCCTCTCCTTATCCAGACTGCCGAACCTGGGGAGCGGTGCTTGTCGCAGCAAACAGTCCTGTGCGCCAGCGAGGGCACGGTTCAACAATGTGCCCGTCACCAGATCCACCGGTCATAGTCACGCCATCATACCTCCGTCCTGGCCAACCGGACCGCTTGTGTCGTTCTATCGGGGCAATGGAAACAGAAGAGAAGTAGGGTCAAGGAAAATTGGGGTATATCGGCGTCGGTTGTGAGAAGATGGCGGTCCTCTCGTTCGTAAGGTTATAGATGTTACAGTGGTCTGCAGAGGTCCTTCCGTTAGCCATGTCCATCGCCTACCGTTATAAGAGTAAGAATGAAAGGTCAGCGCAACGTACCCGAGATAGTCCTCCTTGATGGTCCCAATGGCGTTGATCGCCGCCACGTCCGGCTTCACACCAAGAATCTTTAGTCGCAGACTGGTGCCCTTTTCGATCACCTGGTCCGCATGGTCTGTATATTGTGGAGGCACCGTGTTGGGCTCCCACCGGATATCGGATGGGATGTTCTGTCAGTCGGTCAGCACCAAAAATGTCCGTTGCTGTCTCCCTCTCTCTTTCTCTCTCGGGCACCTACTTTGCGCGCAATGAAGACGGACAGTGGCCCGGCCAGTGTGAAGATCCCCGTGGGTTTGACGGAAGTCACGATAGCATCGACCTGCAAGATCTGGTCAGCATCCCGAATCCATCCTCCGCTGCCTAGACATCAAGACAAAACGTACAGTCTCCCCGCGGAACGGCTTCCAGATGATCGCGCGGTATTTGATCGTATACTCGGCTTGTCCCCCACTGGGCAGCACCCGTCCTTCGCCAATATCCACCATGTCCATCACACAGATCACAAAGTGGTCACCGGTACAGCGGCCTTCCTCCTCCTCGTTGAGCCGATTGATCAGGTACTCGCGCACATTGGGCCCGAAGTAGGACGGGTGCAACGTGATGACCTTGGTCTCCTCCTTGAGAAAGAACATTCTGCCGAAATGTCGAGGTCGACGCGATGCAGATCGTTATTTGGTTGGTGAATCCGCGACGGCGGGGGACCGGCGGTGGGAGAGGTCAGCGAGAGTCGAGTTCAGACCGTCCCAAGGACGTTGTGTCGACTTGGGTGTTGATCCAGAAAGAATACGGTTCCGTGAGGCGACACGTATTCTAAATAGTCCTTTTCTAATCCGGAAAGACGGCGGATCTTGAAAGGTTGGTAGAATGTTAATCAGTAGCTCATGGCCAGCAACAAAACCCAGCAACTGCCCCAGCAAAGCCAATCGCCGAACGATCGCGACACTCCAAGAAAGAATGAGTCTGCGCGGTAGAGATTTGGTGATGCGCCTGCCCTTGATCTAGGCAGATGCCAAAAGGTAGCTAGAAATATATCACGAAGACGAGGCCGTCAATAATCCTCATTCCTGCCGCGCTGGATCGCACATGGCAGGCAGCAGCTGGATGGTCACGTGGCCTAGACGCTGGGTGACGGTATCTTACACTCAACCACCATGACAGTAAGGGAGAATCAGGTGTACCTGGGTAACTGACGGTAATTCCGTTACACATGACGGCATCGATGCAAATACACACCTAAGGTACTCCGTAATGCTCCACCTCTTGGCGAGGTTACAATCAGGCAATAATAGCCTTAGCCTGTCTGTGTGATGAGGCGGACTATCTGACCACCACTAACGGGTCACTAACAGGGGATCAGGACTAGTCTGCAGTGTTATCTGGCTTTTTTTGTGACTTGCCTTGGCTCTCCGAAAGGGGGAAGAAGAAGCAGCAGAAGACGTTTGAAATCTATAGTCCCATCCTCTCAGGGCTGAACCATTATCACGGACCATCATGGCTTTGAACTTGGAGAAGCAACTGCTCTTTGTGAGTCTCCCACAGATTTTTGGATGCAGTATGATTTTGAGGGCGACCGACTGACTGCTATATCTCTAGTATGGAGCCTATCACAATAACCCGGTATAGATGCCTCCCCCCCCGTCTCGTCTTGGTCTTTCCCTTCCCCGTCCAGCCAGGACTGTCATCGCTCATCGCTCATCGTTCAACAGGTGAACGTCGCCATCCACATCACCTGTGTGCCTGTCCTCCTGTTCACAGGTATCGCCCTGGTACGTTGTCCTCCCTGTCGTCCACCACGCTAGCCCCCCCGACCAACGATCCTAACTGCGAACCCCCCCCAGGCAGCCAACTCCCCGACGCTGTTCCCTCTCCCCGAAGCCATCCGGTATGAGAACCTGCCGCCGAACCTGGGGACCATCGGCGCCCTGATCTATGCGTCGTTCTACGTCTTACTCGAGCCCGTCGCGGGCGCCCTGATCGCCCCGTTGCTGGTCGGCGGCGCCGCCTTCGCCAACCACCTCCTCCTCACGTACGGGTCGGACATGAACTACTGGTTTGGCGGCATCCACGTGGTGACGTGGTTGCTCCAGTTCGTCGGCCACGGCGCCTTTGAGCGCCGTGCGCCTGCGCTGCTGGATAACCTGGTCCAGGCGCTGCTGCTTGCGCCGCTGTTTGTCTGGATGGAGATTCTCTTCTTCTTTGGCTACCGGCCGGAACTGAAGGCTCGCTACGATGAAAGTGTGGAGAAGGCGGTTGCTACGTTCCGGGCGCAGAAGGATAAGCAGAAGGCTGCGAAATGATTATCCATCACCTTTCTGGTAGGATGGACACTCGAACTGGTTCAGTTGCTGTCGTGATCTTGCCCCGCGTGGGTTTGTATCTGGGTTATGATCTGGAGAGTTAGGTTGGGTAGTCGGGAAGCTATGCTAACTACCGGTGGGAGAGTCGGAGCTGTGGTTGTGTTTCCATTCCCATGTTCTTTTTTTTTTCCCCTTTCTTTCCCTGTTTTTATACTTTGTTTGTTTTCTTGCTTTTGCCATTCGCAGCCCCATGTTTGAACTGAGCGATTGAATATTGTAAATCAAGAGATTGGTATGCCTTTTATAGTTTATAGAGACGAGGATGCAACGGGACAACCCTGCACGAGCTGCACGTGACGCTGCAGGAAAGGGGTGAGGGGGCGGTTAGGTTATGTAACCGAAAAGAGGAGTTCCAGGAGTTGAACGCATTAGGATTGAATATGAAACCAGTTGTCCCGACCAGTTGTCATGGACTTACGGTGAGCTTGACTGAAAACTAAACAACATCGATGTTTACGTAGTTCCTATATACGGAGACGGAGTCGAGTACTAGTAGTATATATACGAATCTACGGTGTAGCCGATAGACAGATCCATTGACAGGAAAAGGAATGGAGTGGACGGACTAGAATCTACGCACCACGGGAGTGCACTGCAGTCGGATCCATGGACGGTTGCTGTGACGAAAATGAGTGGCTGACTCAGCCGTACCGATCCGTACCAGCCCGTCTTTCACACTACCCAGTACTAACTATGTAAAGAGTGATCCGCAGATCCGAGAGTGTGTAAAGAAAGAGGAAAATTACCAGGAGCGGTTCCAGTATTAGAGAAAATGAGAGAAAAATGAGAGGCCAAGGTGGCCCGCTCAGACGAGTAGGAAAAAAAAAGTAAGAAAAAAAAAGAGAAAAATTACCAAGACGGATTACCCGGTCTACCGGTCTCTCCACTCTTCCTCCCGACCGTAGGCACTACCACACCAGAAAGAATTTGGAAAAGTATAGTTGATTCTTTAGAAGTAGTAGTTCTAGTAAAAAATTATGAAGGGATGAATCTACAGGATGGTTGTGGTAGAATAAGATAGTTAACACTCTGGATTTATTAGTTTGATTGTTGGGATTGAAATCAAACGAGTCCCGTGAACGCACTAGGGCGGCTTCGGAGGTTACTGAGAGGCTCGGCAAACTGGGTTTAGTGCCAGACCTGAGAATCCTCCCAGCCCCGACGACAAAGCTCTCCCTCCCATCTCATCCACAATCTCCTCCTCTCCTCTTCTTCCTCCCCCCCCCCTCCACCTCCCCCCCAATTATATCTCTCCTTCAGAGTATCAACTCCAACTTCCTCTGAACCCCCATCACAATGTTCAGAAACGCTCTGCGGCAGTCCAGCCGCGCCGTCGCGGCCGCCTCGACCACTGGCCGCATCGCCTCGGTGAGTCCTTTTCTCTTCTCGATCCATCCCTTCCGAGGGTCGACGACTATCCTCCCCGACATCAAGATATCGGTTTCCATCTCAAAAGTCATCTCAATGGGATGGTCAATCGGTTCTTTGCATGTCGCAAGGCTTGGGTTTCCCATTGCACGCGGTTTTCTCCCTCGTCCATGACGTTAACAAATTTTGCTTTCGCTGCCAATTAGACTCGCGCGGCTGTCTCCGGCCCTCTCGCTGGTGCCTCCAAGCAGGTCCGTACCTACGCTGCCGAGGCCAAGGCCTCGCCCACCGAGGTCTCCTCCATCCTGGAGCAGAGAATCCGTGGTGTTCAGGAGGAAGCTGGTCTTGCCGAGACTGGACGTGTCCTTTCCGTCGGGTACGTAGGCCTAAGAGGGTTCCCGAAAAAAAAATTCGAACTCGGAACGATGATGGCGGTGAAACGAATGACACCTGTCACGAATTCACCCTGCCATTGTTTGATGTCCTCTGATGCAATGGAAATCTAATTTGAATCGGTTGATAGTGACGGTATCGCTCGTGTCCATGGCATGACCAATGTCCAGGCTGAGGAGCTGGTCGAGTATGTATCCCTTGGCATCAAAATTTTTTTCTCTTGAGAATTATATCACTAACGGATTATTAGGTTCGCCTCTGGCGTCAAGGGCATGTGCATGAACTTGGAAGCCGGCCAGGTCGGTGTTGTGCTGTTCGGTTCCGACCGTCTGGTCAAGGAGGGCGAGACCGTCAAGCGTACCGGAGAGATTGTATGTTATCTCCTTGCCTGTTCTAACAGGTTAAAAGGCAAAAGAAAAAAAAAGACAATGCTAATATCTTTCAGGTCGATGTCCCCGTCGGCCCTGAGATGCTCGGCCGTGTCGTCGACGCTCTGGGTAACCCCATCGATGGCAAGGGCCCCATCAACACCACCGTCAAGAGCCGTGCTCAGCTCAAGGCCCCTGGTATCCTGCCCCGTCGCTCCGTCAACCAGCCCGTGCAGACTGGTATGAAGTGTGTCGACTCCATGGTGCCCATCGGCCGTGGTCAGCGTGAGTTGATCATTGGTGACCGTCAGACCGGTAAGACCGCTGTCGCCCTCGACGCCATGCTCAACCAGCGCCGTTGGAACAACACCAGCGACGAGAGCAAGAAGCTGTACTGTATCTACGTTGCCGTCGGCCAGAAGCGTTCCACCGTCGCTCAGCTCGTCAAGACCCTTGAGGAGCAGAACGCCATGCAGTACTCCATCGTCGTCGCCGCCACCGCCTCCGAGGCTGCTCCCCTGCAGTACCTGGCCCCCTTCACCGGTTGCGCCATGGGTGAGTGGTTCCGTGACAACGGCCGCCACGCCGTCATCATCTACGACGATCTGTCCAAGCAGGCCGTTGCCTACCGTCAGATGTCGCTGCTGCTCCGTCGTCCCCCCGGTCGTGAGGCCTACCCCGGTGACGTCTTCTACCTGCACTCTCGTCTGCTCGAGCGTTCCGCCAAGATGAACGACAAGCACGGTGGTGGCTCCCTCACCGCTCTGCCCGTCATCGAGACCCAGGGTGGTGATGTCTCTGCCTACATTCCCACCAACGTCATCTCCATCACCGACGGCCAGATCTTCCTCGAGGCCGAGCTGTTCTACAAGGGTGTCCGTCCCGCCATCAACGTCGGTCTGTCCGTGTCCCGTGTCGGTTCCGCCGCCCAGGTCAAGGCCATGAAGCAGGTCGCCGGTTCCCTGAAGCTGTTCTTGGCTCAGTACCGTGAGGTTGCTGCCTTCGCCCAGTTCGGTTCCGATCTCGATGCCTCCACCAAGCAGACCCTGGCCCGTGGTCAGCGTCTGACCGAGCTGCTCAAGCAGAAGCAGTACTCCCCCATGGCCGTCTCCGACATGGTTCCTCTGATCTTCGCCGGTGTCAACGGTCTGCTCGACACCATCCCCGTCAACAAGGTCCTTGACTGGGAGGCCGACTTCCTGGCTCACCTCAAGAGCACCCACCCCGAGATCCAGGAGACCATCGAGAAGGAGGGTCAGGTCACCAAGGAGCTGGAGAAGCAGCTCAAGGAGGTCACCGTTGCCTTCAACAAGTCTTTCAACGCATAGGTGAGCCATTTTTTTTTTTACCAAAAAAAAAGGCATTTGGCTTGATATCTGATTAGCCTACCTTGTACTGTTTTATTCCTGACATCTATGTGTATAGACAAGATAGCTTGTACAATTTGAGACCACTTTTGTTCGTTACTTAACCGCTGGACTCGGTTCTGGGCGGTGTATACCCTTAACCAAGGTGTCACCTACCTACCGAGATCTCTGTAGCTTTCCTACCAA